TGTGTCTCATATTAAAATTTGTGAAACCTTTCTGTCCCAGTGACAGAAATTTAAAGCAAAATAAAAAAATGATGAAGTGTAAAAGAACTGTGAAATTTGCTTTTAAGTACCAGTAATTATATGAATTTTCTGCAGCTGTATTACTGACATAATATCTCTGAAAGAAGCAAAATATATAGACAATTTAGATTAAGCAAAATATTGCATAATCACACTCACAAAGCTGAAGCTGACATATTCCAGAGATTATAACTTGAATCACAAAGAACCTCAGTGAAATCAGTTTTGAAGATTTTCCCGAGAGTTTGGTCTACATACATTGCCCATAATCAGTCAAAAGTGTCATTTTTGCACAAAATGTTACACTTCAGCTGTAAAGTTTTCTCAGTGATATGAAAAGAAAGTAGCAACTCATTTATGGGCAGCACAGATTGGCTGAAGCAAAAGCTAAACTATACTTAGCTTTGGGACTGACTGGCTGCATGACTGTTGGGAAATCATTTAACTTATTCCCTTTTCCCAAACTGCCCCAGTGTGTGGTCCCTGATTCTGTGAAATACTTAGTATGTGTGTGACAGTTCAATGTAGTGAAATTATACATATAGATGGCATTTTGTGTGACCATTTTGTACCACATCACTGCCAGATGCAAAGTACCATTAATTTAAAACTGATATGCCTGATATCCAAAGTCTATTTTGAAGCAGCAGTCTCTGAAGGTGGAAAATTTCTTTTTGTTTTTCATGTCAAATAGTAAATGCAAATAATGTGAATAATGCAAGTATTGCGAATGCAAACAGTAATTACTAAAAGACACATTCTACACGTGAATTCTCATGTAGCTGGAAGGTGTTTACTTCTTATTCCTCTCCTCCAACTGAACCTCACCTCTACTGTGAATTTAGATTTTACTTGCATCATGTCTTTTAACAGTGTTGTCCAATCAGGCTACACCAAACACCAGCACCAAACACCACTACCAACACTTAACAGTGGAACTGAGGGAGGTTTAGGTAGTGTTCCCCAACTCACAGCAAAGCACAATAAAACATAGGCACTTGAAGCCACAGTTCCTAAGTATAACCTTGCTCTTTTTGTGGCTTTTTTGGTCCCTCTTCCAGAGCTTCCCTCTTTAGTTTTCATAAGCCTGATTTTCACTTAGTTATGGAGACAACCATGACTAGTGATAAGATTTCACTGAATTAGTTACAAAGCTCTGTCTGCCAGTAAGAGAGGTCAGTGATACAGGGAAGTGTTGGCCCTGATGGAGCTCTCTGCCATGTGCTTATGTGCAATTGAGTCTCCTCAATTGCACCTCACAGTTCCTGAGCCCTAATGCACAAAATACACAGATTTTTTTCAGTCAGTTAGTCATTCCTAATGTCTGTGACACAGCACAAGTGCTGAGAAATAAAGGGAAAGATAAAAAACCCTCCAGAAGATATAAACTTAACATAAACTACAGGAGGTTGATCTGTCCTGCAGTGAAACCAAACTGCAAGCTGGACACAGAGTTGGAGATAAGGCCGTCATCATGGCCCCTCCTCCAAGTGCAAACACAATTGTCAAGAAGAGAGGCATCTAAAACCTTAATCAGGTGTTAGCACAATGTACTTGTTAAACATTTGTAACTACAAATCACAGGCCCATAGCTGGCCATACCTTTGTGCAAAACAGCTGGAGTTTCCAGAAATAATGACCATGAAAAAAGTCCACAGTGTGTGTGTGGACAGGGCTTCCATGTATTTTCAGTAGACAGAAGACTACAAAAGGTGTAATTTCCTTTCTATTATACACATCTATTGCATTATATCTATTCATTTTTGTTATGTATGATCAGTGTCTCCTAACATTTAGCAAAAAAGAAGGGGAAAAAATCTTCTCTCCCAAAAAGTCTTGAGTTTTTCCATTCAAGAGCTGCAATGCATCAATAACTTTTATGCAGAAAACATTGTTCACTCCAACCAGCAATTAGTGGCAACATTTCTATCCTGTGCACTGATGAGATTTTTATGCTAATCATTACACAGCAGTAAATTAATCATTTGGGCACATTTAGATGGTATGTATATTTCATGAGACAGATATAGATATCAAGATCAGTTTGATATTTACTTATGGTAAATGGAAGTGTCTCACATCGCTATGGGGGAAGCATACTAACTAAATACACAGCCAAGGATGTTTGTAATGGAGCAGCAGAATCAGCACTGCTTCAACTCTCTCTTTGTTTTTAATTATTTTAAGGGAGCTAAAAGTCTTGTGAGAACACAGAACAGAATCATTCAAAGAGACAGTGAAATGTCACTATTGTCTTGGCACAATGAAGGACAAAAGCAAACCGACCCTACAATTCTTCTTTTATTACTGGCAAAATTACTTACATTACAATATGCTGTATTGAAAAGAGATTTTTCATCAGCATTTGTACTATAGTCTAGTCAGGTAATGAATTATGTATTGGCCTCATCCCTCTGTAACTATGTCTGAAAGCTTCAAGTTGTAGCTGAAAGGAAGACTACCCAGGGGCCTCCCTTCTCAGCAGATGCAAGAGATTTGTAATACCTTGAGGAAAATTATTATTTGAAATTTAAATTTTCAACATCTATTTAAATACTAGTGCTGGTCTTTTCAGCTCTCACCTCACAGATCTTTGCAGGCAAAACCCCAAATGTTTATTGGAGGGAATTGTACCCATGGTCCCCTTGAGCTAGAACATTATAAAATTCCTTATGATGAGCACAGATTTATGGCAGGTGACCCTCACAATAATAGTAATATAAATAATGTCCTAAGCTACAACTTTCTCAATTAAAATATGAGAAAGATTCCCAAAGATTAATGGTATGTGAGTGGAAGGAAAAGTTATGTTGGCTTACCTGGATCACCTCAGAAGTGCTCTTGAATTGAAAACTGACCAACTGATCCATGTTTAATGGCCACTAATTGGAATAACGTAATTGCTACACTGAGCAATGGTAAAGATAAGCTATTGCACAGATGGTACAAAATCCCACTGGAAAGAAAAGAAATTTATTAGCATGTCCTTGTTTATGGAAAGTTTTGAGAGAGGCACATCTGAACAGGCAGATTACCAGGAGTTACCAGGAGAATATTATGGACAGATAGGTCTGAAAACTAATACACATCAGGGCAAAAAAAAAAAAAAAAAAAAAAATCTTTGGTTTTCAATCTCAGAAATAAAATATTTTTACTTTTGTTTTTTTCTATAAAAATAATATGGTGGTTTTGATTTTTGAACATTTTTTTCCAGAACCAATTCTTCGCTCTAGAACTGTGTGTCTGAAGCTGACATGAAGGTTGCATTTTCTTCAGGGGCATCATGGTCTTAATTTTTACAGTCTTACACAGTTGTGTTGTTTTGGCCTGAGAATGGTTAATTTTCTTACTTAGGAGCTGACAAGCACATCTTGACATGTGCTGTGGTGCCATGTGCACACTTGTAGTGTTATTCTCCTCGGCAGAGGAGTATTCTTGACTCCAGAGATTTTCCGTTTGACTTGAGGCAATGGAGAAAAACACAAATAAACACCATTTCCAAGAGAGCACAGGTTAAGATTTGCAACAATATAGGTAACTTCACAGAACATCCTTCTGAATTTCTGATGTACAAAGCCTCATACCCTGAGGGAAAACAATATGGAACAACAATTCAGGAAACAGTAACTCACATTGTGTGAAGGACAAAAAGCTGGATTTGGAGACAGCTGAGGATCTGTCAGTGGTGAGCACCTCCAAGTATGCTCTTGTCAAGCAAAAAGAAACACAGGCATCACGCCTTGAAAGCGGAGGAAATCTTTGTAAACTCTATTTCAACATTGTTTCTTTAGAAAGATAGAGCAGTGTATCTCCAGGCAGCTTTTATGCTCTTGAAATGATTTGGAGGGAATACTGAAATAGTTAATAAATTTGATGGAAAACAGCTATTATAACAGTAAACAGATACCATGATTATGAATTCTATAAAAATTAATTGCTCATGATTCAGCTATTGCTCATAGCAGAACTGATTAACAGCACGAGGGATTGCCTGCTATTGGGTATAATGCTCCATGTTGCTAACATTAGTTGTTTGATGCTGACTACATTGCAGCAGTTATTCACTCACTAAGTTTGCTTGTTGTAAAATTTGAAATCACAAACAAGGATAACGTCACAAGGAAATGAGCAGAAATCATACGCCTTAAAATGTTCCCCAAGACCAGTTATACCTTCTCTACAGATATGCCTGAAACTCATCTGAATATTCACAATCTCAGTAAGCAAGAAAAAGCCCCAACCCCCAAACCAACAAAGTATATAAGAATCAAATTCCCAGGTTAATCCCTCCATCAAAGTAAATTTGTGCCAGCGTCCTCTAGCCCAGCTTCAGCATGGGAGACCATCCCTGCAAGTGAGGGGCAGCCAGGAATGGCTTCAGGATTCTGAATCAAAATCTGCTCTTACATTTTGTTTGGATATCAGCTGGCAAGTACTGAAGGTCACAAATCACAGCTGTATGTTGTTTCTGAAACATGGCATTTCATACAAAAACTGCCACACGAAATTCTCTGCCTGTCATGATGGCGAGTCTTCCATGAGAAAGAAAAAGACACACATGGCTTTCCATGAGGAGCTGCCCAAAACAACACAGGAGAGCAGGGAATCCTCTGCTGGCTTTATATCCTCTGTGTCCTAGTTTATCTGAGTCTTTGGTGAACCTCTCATAAGAGCTAAAAATGGACCTGAGTAAAGCTATTGTACTATTTAAGCATTTTGACTATAATTTGAGCATTCTAACATACATTAACATTAAAAAAGACAAGATTAATTTGTCCTATAACCTGAAAACTTCTAGAAACTACAGTATTACCTTAAAACAGTGAAAAGAAAGAGCTGTTTGGTTAATAATACAGAACTCCAATGCATAGAATGAAAAACAGAAACAAAACCAGTAAACGTACACAAAATCAATACACTAGTCTGATGCAAAAATTTTATTTTGTATATTTTTCCTGCTGCACAAGATCACTGTGCATACAAATGGTTATTATATCATAGTCAAAGAGGTATTATATCTTCATCTGAAATATAAAAAGTACGTAAAGGAATACATTTAAGTGAAAATCACAAATGGAAGAGATCAAAACAGCAAAAACAAGCAGGAATGCATAAAAGAGAGTGTGTTTTGAGGAAAACAGATATAATAATAATGCAGAAAACCAAGGGTAGCAGAATTTACTACAGCTGCAGTCCACATGCATTAGTGGACTTACAATCTTTACTGAAGAACAGAAATCTTCTTTCTTGCTGTTTTATTACCTTGGCAACATATCCTCCATGTCAGCAATTACATAGGAGACAACAGTCCAAACAGCAGCACAGAGATTCATCTGGTTTGGATCCTGAACTGTCATCGTGTCCCCTTGAGAATGATGAAACCAGAAGTATTTATTGATGTCATTACGCAAGCTGGCACCTACAGAGAAAAATGGGCAAAGTTCCCTTACAGGAATACAAATATTTAAAGAGGAATATAAACTTGAATCTATTCCTTGGCTGTTAATGATTAAAGCCACATGCAACTGTATAAAATTCATAATACATTTGAAATAAAATAACTGTACAGAGCCGTACCATGTGCAGTTTGTAGGTTTTAGGTTAATTGACTTGTGTGAGCATGAGGCAGCAAAAATTCACACTGGGGAAAAGCCAAGCTTCCCCTGGGAAACTCGTTTCCTCAGCAACAGTATGCATCCATTTTCTTCTGAAACTAACAGAGTTCAAGCAGGAAAATCCCTACAGTAACTCCACAGCAGCGCTTCCCCTGTTCTCCACCGATGAGTTACGACTGATATGAATCCTTTCCTTGCTGTTAGTTGTGTTGGGGAACACTTTGGAATTTGCTTCTGCTTTTGAGCCCCTCTACATTACAAGGATGTGCTGTTTCAGAACAAGTTTCCAGATAATCTGGGGTATCCCAGGTAGCCCAGGACTATGATCCTCTCACAGTCAGGAGTCCTCATCAGCTGGGGCAGAAGTAAGTTGAGTGAAATCCTAATTCTTCCCATTCAAGAACAACTGATTTCCTCTGGGACCACAGGGGCAGGGAAAGAACTACTTTTCCCCAAGCCAGCTGGGTTCAGGGAGCCCAAATAAATGATGCTTGCAAGGCATCACTCAAGCAGACCAAAGACAAGATGAGCTGGAGAAGCTGCTATCCAACTAGGAGCTGCTGCAGAGATGCTGGTAGAGGATTATTGCCCCAGCTATTCTCTGTTCCAGTACCCACTGACCCTCTCTAACCCCCTATTCCCTTGAATTTCCTTCCTTCCCAGTTCATTGCCTCTCCTCCAGTTTTATCAGCCTCCATCAGCTTTGTTGTAATGTCAACAACCATTCCACCATTAACAGAATTCCACATCAAATTTTGATATCAAGTAAATTTCATATTTTCCCCCACCACACTCATTCACTGCTTGCAACTCCTTTGCATTGATTCCTTTGTCCTGCTCCCTGACCAAGGCTAGAAGGTGCACAGCTCCCAGGGAAGGACTCAGCACAAGACCCACTCCTTTCTTGGTCTACAAACCCACAGAACTGTGTGAATTCACAAGTAAGAGCTATGGGCTCCAGGCAGAAACATGGATTGAGGATACTCCTGCCATGCCAAGTAAGAAGGAAAAAAGGACTGTTTGACTGTTTGACTATAAAGATGAAGTACATAAATTATTGATATATTTATTTACTTGCAGTGGAAATCAGTATCAGATGAGGAAGGCTTTGATAAACTCATGTGTGCTTGTAAGACTTAATGTTATGATTTTTCTTGGTTTTCCTGAGGTGCCTGAAGCCTTTGAAGAGAATGAAAGCAAAATTTCCCACAGCATAACTGTACATCCTATAATACATATCTTTTGATCACTCAAACAATCACTCAGAAGAGTCCAGCTCTCCCTGTGGGTAACAGGCATGTTTCTCTTGCTGTAATGGGGACTGACTTGGATGGCTCAGTTCACTGCTATTTTAGAGAAAAGGAACAGAAAGTTAATGTATTTTAATTCCACCCAAGGTGAAGATCCCTTCATAAGAAGGACGATAAGCACAAAGACCAAATGCTACAGCATAAGGTTGTACAGTATTGTGATTGATTTTATTTTTAAAAGCTCTTCTTGTTCTTAAAGGACCTGTTTGCTCCTGACTTGAAGTATTGCAATCCTGCAGAAGTCACTGGGTAGGTTACATGTGCTGAATTATGTTCTAACAATTTTAGCATTAAATTGATGTCAAGTTATAGGCACTTTTAAATTTTTCTTCTAATCCTTTTAAATATATGCAATCTTAAAAGGATTGAGCAATGATAAATCCTTTAACTGACAGACTTCTGCACTATGGACACGTTACAAGTTAAGCTGTTGAGGCACCCCATTACTGTTTTTGAACACTTCTGTGAGACTCAAGACAAAAATTGCCCAGATTTTGTCATAGAAATTTCACTAATCAGAATAAATATGGATTTACAGAATAGCACTTTATTCCTGTGAGTGGAACTAAAAAAAAACACCCTTTGCTTTGTCATGTTTAACTCTCTGAAACACTGGAAAAGTTTTTTTTTTTCTCTCTGACTTGATTTTATAAATCAGAAAATTATCAACTTTGACATCAAGCAAATTATTACTGTGCAAGAAAAGCAAAAGGTTCTCAAACTGGTCATGCTGTCTGCATCATGTTGTGGGTTAGCATTGAAACTAGTGACCGGCAAACATCTTGAGAGACTAAGGAGAAGACCCTAAGAAAGTAGTTTTATCCTCTTTAATTAGAAACTGAAGTGAAAATCCATGTTCTTGGCCTTGAGCACAATAAGAGTTTACACCTGAGGGCTTCACACAAACCTCTGGACATGAAGCACTCTGGGGCACAGACTGCAAGAAATTTTCATTGCAAGGAAGTCTGCTGCTTGAAACTTGACACTGCTCCATGCTGATGTCAGCTGCCTGCAGCCATCTCTGCTGCCAGAGGTCACCAGCTCAGTGAGACACTGACAGTGCCCTTTCTCCAGTAAATGCATCCAGGGCTGAGACCAGCCCTTGCAGACGACCATGGAGCGGGAAGTTCTGCAGGGTCCTGCAGACTGCAGTCATGTTGGGTTACCTCAATGAAGTCCACAGGGACCATCGGCCTCTTTTCTAAAAATCTAACAGAAGCAACACTGTGAGCACAATTTTTGTTGTTTTGTTGTTATGTAACATTTGTCTCAGGAACAACAGTCAATGACAAATGGTGGCTTATTTTTACCAAGCTAGGAGTCAAGTCACAGACATGAGGAGCCATGGCTCACAGACCTATAAATTATTCACCCATGTCCATGCTAGCCACCTAGAAAGGGAACAGCATACAGCCTTGAAAGAGCCCATAAACTTTAATTAAGTTATGTATGTGTGTACCACGTATATAATTCTGATTTCCAGGTGGAAACAATACTTGAACAGAAACCTAGAGATGGGCTAGGTGCTGCACTGTCACATTTCATGCACTTTGCTCTTTTTCCTGCGTTTGCAGAGCAGCCATAAAGAAAAAAAGGTGATGTTTGCCAAACTACCCTCTTTAATTGTCCTTTTCCAGTCTGTTCACTTTTACAGTGATGTAAGTCACATGAGGAACACTGCTGACCAAAAAGGAGATCAGTGAGAAAGTGCTTCTAGCTGGATATAATAGGTGCTGTGGCATGAAAAAAGGGAATGTTAAAAACTGCTGCCATAAATGCTGTACATATTACTTGAATGCATCAAAAATACTGGAAATTAAAAACTGAAGAAAAGTAATAATTTACAGCTTCAATAAAATAATACAAAGATTATTCATAGCACCATTACAAGGTGATAGAAAAAACCCTCTTCAGCACAGCTTAGTTACCTAATTTAATGCATGCTATTGCATCAGCAGCTATCTAGTGCCACTGGTGATCCCCAAGGTCAAACACTAGGACAAGTTGCCCTGAGAGGCTGCAGTGCTTCCATCCTTTGAGCTATTCAAAGCCTGACAGAACATGGACCTCAGCAACCTGCTGCAGCTGACCCTGCTTAAGCAGGGGAGTCGGACTAAGTGAGCTCCAGGGGTGCCTGCCAAACTCAGCCATTCTGTGGCACTCTAACCCAGGGTGCCTTGGGTCTTTCAGACATCTCTTAGAATTCACACAACATAAAAAATTTTCTTCAATTCAAGTTCATTCTTCTCTTGAACTCATTTGATGATTCTCTGCATAAACAGCTATGTCATGCTTGGTTTGATGCACTGCAGAAGGCAGGGAAAAGCAGCTGCTTTGGTAATTCATAGTGACCACGTATTCTTAGCAATCAACTATGATTACTAAATGAACTTGATGAAAACACACACACATTGAGGAATTCTGAAAAACATTCCATCCCTTCTAGCTTCTGATCTCAGCATGAAATGCCCAATGCAAGCACTCATTAGCTGATGATAAGGATATTATTTCCTTACAATATGTTCATATAAAACACCGGTTCTTCACACATTAATAAACTGACAAAGGTCTTATTGCCAGCTTAAGAAGATGAAAAGCTGCTATTGAGATAAAAGGAATGATGGGCATGTCAATGATGACCATTGCTTCTTGTCACTCTCTGTCAGGCACTACTGCCTTCATAAGAATGCTGTCATAACTAGAATGAAACTATTGCCAGATATTTAAGCACTCAAATTACTGTCATTTGTGAAAAAAAAAATGACTGGAAAAGCAGATAATGATTATCAGAATGATTACAAAGGCAGTTTCCATAAAAGTGTGTTCCATAAAACACAGATATATTCAATGGGGAAAGCATGCAAAGCATGCAGTAACTTCAGTCATTTTACATCTTAAAACATTTTGCATAACACTCCTCCCTACATTATCTTTCTTTTCTTTTTATACCCTGAACAGCATTCAATTGCCAAAGGAAATCAAATGTGAGTTGTGGAGTCAGTACACGTTTGCTACAGAGTCCTATCAATAGCTTCCCAGTTGTCTTTGCTTTCAAGTGAACCTCACAGCTATGCCGTGAATCTTTCAGATACAATGGGAAAATGCCCACTGTCTCTGTAACTTCTCTTGGGTGTCCTGGGTCTTCAATATTACAGCTGGATCTCTGGGATACTGACCTCTGCATGATGCTGCTTTATACAGTGAAGTTAATACACTAATAATTTATAAAAAAGTGTGTAACTTTTTCAGGTTTCATTTTATAGCAGTCCCTAGAGGACCTGACAGAATTGCCACTCTGTTGTTTTATGTGGTATAAATACACCTCTCCAAAGAGAAAAGACTCCAGCTCAGAAGAACATACACTCTAAACAGACAGGAGGACTGAAGGATGAAAGGGGCATGCAGAGATGAAACAACAGATTCATTTTCTCACAGCAGCTGAGAAAGAAATAGATGCCAGACATCTGAGCTGAAGCCAGTGTCCTATTGAGTAA